CTTTAAGGGTCACTAGAAAAACTTGGTTGATTTACTTTGATCCTCTTTTCAAAAAATTGTCTCTTCAAAACGCATCAACAAAAATTAAACTCGAAGACGAGGCTGTAGCTAACTACCTGACGTTGGCGCGATTTGTTGAAACATGTAGAAATAACGAAGCAGGAGGAAATTACAAGCAAACGCACCGAGCAGCCTTGCAAAACACAGTTTGTCACAGCAGTTTGGGAAGAAAATGGCAGCAGCTGCTGATGGAATGTCAACATCCCTAAATATTGCTTCAATAAACAAAGACCAGAGAGTTCCCCTTTGATGTCACTTCCTGTTTCACATTGGCTGAGCCAAGTTCAAAGGAAAATATGCCAGTTATGTGACAAAATGGGTAAAATCATTTGTATTATGCAAAGTTTCTTAAATATAAATGTTTTCTTTGTCTTTTTGTATTTGAAGAATATTCATGTCACAGGCACTTTAAGTTTTTTTTCATTGCTCAAGTTCACAACAAAAGTGATTTTATGGCATCACTCAAAAGTAAACTAGAGTTCAAATCAAATCCAGATTCAGATTAGCATGTTGGCGATGGTGGAAAGGAATGACTCCCTTTTTAACAGGAAGAAAACTTTATTAATTTAGTTTCTGTTTTTGCGTTGTTTCTAGTGATCGTTTCTAATTTTAGTTGTCGCTTTGTTCCGCAGGATTACGACCACCTCCCCAAGGCCGACATCTTTGCTCTGGGCCTCACGGTGCTGCTGGCAGCAGGAGCCCCACCTTTGCCTCAAAATGGAGATGAATGGCACAGTCTTAGAGAGGGGCATCTGCCCAAACTGCCACAAGAGCTCTCACCTCCCTTCAGGAGTTTACTTCAGGTATTACTCCTCCTCCTCATATGTTATATTATAAAACAGAGAAGGGTTTAGACTTACCATCTGTGTAAATCATACGTTTGGTTTGTCGTTACTGGGATAGCATGCCAAAATTATTATTTTTTTCCCCCTTTGTCAGTCGTTGCTGGATTCTGACCCGACAAAGCGTCCATCTGCCAGGGAGCTCTGCAAGCACACGGTCCTGAGGGAGAAGAGGACGGAGAGGCTGGCCGCTCAGCTTCGCAGAGAGCTCAATGTGGAGAAGTTCAGGACGGCCATGCTTGAAAAGTAAGAGACCAGATATTGATGGTTATGAAATTAATTTTTGCTTTCTTAAAGGAGACCAATTATGGGTCCTAGAAATGTTTATGGTATGTCTGTGGGCTATCCAGACCATGTTCATTCAATTTAATGCACAAAATAATTATCAGATAACAAAATTTCCCATTTTCTAGTTCTGCCTGCTCTGACTTACGTGCAGAAGAGCTGTTTATGTTAATGAGCTCTGTTGGTAACGCCCTCCAAAAATCTGTTGACATTAACTCCGCCTTCCAAAGCCAACGTTTACGTTAGCATGGCTAATAATAGCAGAAACTCCGTTGTACAAACATATGAGACCCTGAATGAGACCCAGAGGCAGAATCGTGGTTGCAGTTTCTATTTTTTTTACTCCCCCTCCTCTGCTCTGCGCTGTTACCAGAGCAGGGAGCAGCAGYGGTCAAAATCCCTCAGAAACCCGAACAAATAGGCTTTAACAAGGCTTTAATAAGCTAAACTATAGAGGTACATGAGAAAACGTGTTCATAACGAATGAAAATAAATAATTAAGTTGTGTCCGTGTCRGTCTCAAACCCTGGTCTCCTGCTCTTTGGYCCAACACTCTACCCATTGCCCTATTGGAGGCTTGTTATGAAATGAGCTGCCTATTGCACAACAACTGTGACGGCTTTTTATACTGAGGAGGTGGAGTCTCACCTGGGGGTTGCTAGCTAAGGGGCTGAACACAGGTTCCTGTGGGTTGTCGTAYGGCTTGTGACATCACAAAATGACGGAAGTATAAAACTTGTCGTTGATATACATTAAAAAATACATTTACTTACAGTAAATATGCCCCTGGGTGCATTTTTTGGTCCTAGGACTGTTTTTTAAGAAGTACATACCTAAAGTTGAGTAAAAAAAAACTTTAAAAACTGAATTTTGCATAATAGGTCCCCTTTAAATTTTGCTTTACTTATTTATTTTAGGTTTATTAAAACACAAAATTTGGGAAAATAATACAGAACCTTAGCATATTTAATAATGAATACATTTTCCTTTTAAAATAACCTTTCTAAAACATATTATCTTGGTAAATTTCTGTTGAATCTGCCGCCTCTTTCTGTAGATATTTTGAGACGAGAGAATAAAAATCTGAGCTTTCCAGACTGAGATTAGGGAGAGGCAACATCTCCGTGCCAACATGCACTGATTTCTAAATGCCARGAGGTGGAGCAGTTTTATGTGACTGAAAACAATCCGGCTGCAGCAGGGCCCGTCTTTTTGTGCTTTCACCAGATACTGGTATCATTCGAAATATATTCCACCGCTTGTGTTTTCTCCTCTCCGCAGAGAGCTCCAGGAGGCACGACAGGCAGCCTTGTCACCAAAACAGGCCCTTTCGCCGAGGCTTTCATCGGGTTTGAAGCCTCCCGCCAAGATGGAGCCTCTGCCCAGAACAGGAAGGAGGCTCGTTGGCAGGAAGGCAGAGAGATCTGTGAGCTTTGGGACTCCAGGATGTAGAGTCTAAAAGCTTGTGATGCAACGACTCTTCAACAAGTCTGTTGTTTTAACRCGTGTCAGGCAGTGTAATCCTAGCAGAAATGACTACATGTAGAATCTTGTTTCTTTTAGGTTAAACCATGTTTGAGGATTGGGAGCTTGCTTGCTGACTTGAATATTTTTTCTCTCCTTGTAACATGAGTCACATACATGGCTGGTGTAGGATTATTTTTTTWATTTTGTTTTTATTGTAAATAAACTTTTTAAGCCTTTTCCAGATGACTTTAATTTTGTTGTTTTTAACTTTCAACTTGATAAGGGATGGTTTTAAAGAAGGGCGAACAAAGTACAGGGACTTTCCAGTGAGGGTGTTCCTCTTATCTATCTCTGCAGCCAACTCTGTGTGTGACTGACTTAGGAAGCTCGAGCCATCAAACTGACTTTGTTTAGACAGCTCAGCATGTCTTTCAGTGAGGGGTGTTTTGCAATAATTACATAAGATCTAACTCTTTGAAAAGATCAGTTTACACTTTTAATGTTAGCCCTGTGGTGTCAGATGCTATGAACAAAAATAGGCCAACTTTAAATGACTCATTTAAAACTTCACAGTTGAGCTTTACTCTGCCACGAATGATTCTCATGCTTTTGAACGTGTCATGATTTGGGCAATGCTGCACATGCATTCATCCAGTACCAAATTTACACACAGGACCAGTGATTTGAATGATACTTAGCAATACTTTTGTATCCTTTTGCATCATCAGATTACATCTGAATAAATTTTCATGACTTGCGAGTGTTTTAGTGATTTTTTTTAAACACTTGTTTAGGATTATTAGTTATACCCAGAACAATTTGGGTAAATTGGAAACGCATCATAATGAATGCTGTTCAGAAACAATGCGACAGTAACATTTTTTTCTTTTTTTTTTCTTTTTCATTTATTGTCATGTCTGAGTATTAATTAAAGTGATAAAAAATATTTTGAGAACAAATTTGTAAAAGTATCGATCTTCTAACAATAATATCGATCAATATGCTAAGGCTGGCATCGATACTATCGATATTTAGATAGGTCCCACCCACTTCCAGTATAAAAACCCAGCCACCCTTCCGGCCGGGTTGATTGTTCCCCGGTTGTATGGAGTTCACGCAAGTTGCTTTCTCAACTCATTATTGTCGAAACAACTTGAAGTAAGTGAAGAATTCCTCTCAAATGATTAAGACTGAGTAGTTTTAGTCAGTTACAGGTTTTGCTAAAGCAACGATGCTCGAAAGCTAGCGTTATGCTAACTGCTAGTTAGCTTAAAGTTTTTTTAGCCGATGAAGTCCAGTAATTGTTGATTCGCTATAATAGCATACGTTTGCTCGACCAAAACTTTTTATGTTTTTGTGACTGTTGTTTTTTTTATTTTATGATATAGCGTGTTTAAATGACTGGTCATCGATGGACAACTTAGCGAACAGAGCAGACGCGGCTCTTGTTATTGTCGCCTTCCTCCAAGCAGACAGCAGAGACTCCAGTTACAGCCATGAGATTCTTTCCCTCCGTAGTGACATAACTGCAGGCTGGAATATAAACCTCCACAAGTACAACACAGACACCCATCAAGGGTACGAGGACATTGAAAGTGACGGTCACCTGTCCGAAAGCGTTACATTATCTCTGGATGACATTCAACCTGTAGCACAACTACCGCGGCTCGGTAAGTAAAAACATACGTACTTGAAAACTAAAACAATATAAAATATCCTATTTCCGGTTTGAGCTTTACTTTTGTTAACCCAAAGTGACTTAAGGCGGTGTCTGAGGTAAAAGGCAAACAAAAGTTTGAGACTTATTTACCCATCATTTCAAAGTCAACCCAGAAGCTTCGTTTCATTTCTGATCAGCTGTTTTTGTTTTCACCACGGAACCGCAGTACTGGATCTGAAAGTGAAACAGAACTTTACACCTCGAGTATGTGGTTTATTTTGCCCTTTAAGGCCACAAACTTGAATCCAAATGAAGTTTGTTGCATTTGATGCTGTGTTCTTTTAGAAGTAGTATCTTTGTGAACTGGTAGTAGTAATTTGTGTGCTTGTTTTGTTGAACTGTTTGTTTCAGCTGGAGGCCATGCAGAAGAAGCTGTGGACTACCATGCAGTTGCACAGAGCCTGAGGGACATCGCAGCCCAGTTTGAACAAAATCTCTTGGCTCAGGCTACCCACAACCTGAGGACAAAGATTTCAAGCACTCCTTCAGATGTGAGTCTGGTTTGAGAGGATTGTTTAAATTATTACACAACTTCAAAAGTAAAAAAAAAATCAAGATGTTCTCATTCCTTCATCAACTTGACCTCAAAAAAACATTGTTTTCTGTGATTTAGTCAATTTTCCAATTATTGTGTTTTAAAAATTGTTGTGGTTGTAGGAAAAGGCWACAAAAGTTCATTCAGTGGATGGTTTTTAATAGAACTCAAAATATAATCACTGGCTCTAGATCTACAACTAGGGCTGGGCGATATGGCCTAAAATCAATATCACAAAATATTGACCAGTTCCCCTTGATAACGATAAATGCACGGTAACTCTTAACCGGCCCCTACCACACACAAGTACACAGTATAGTATAGTCATTTTGAACAGCTTTTCTGTAGTTTATATTTGTCATTTTAGTGTTTTTAATATATTTAATAAAAAAAAAACATTTTTGGCAAGACTTGAGTCAGATAGTCATACAAATATTTAACCATCTTCATAACTTTTCAGTGCAAACAAATATGTCAAATATGTCTTTTGTACTGCACAAAATAACCTACCGTAACTACATTTTTGTTTTTGTTAGACTGATTTCTCTATTAAAATAACTATTTCTTTCAAAAAGATTGTGATATTTAGAGAGCTCATGTGATCATTTAAAACTGT